AGGGGAACCGATTCCCCCACAGGGGAATCGATACCCCCCTGGGGTTCTGTTAAAATCGACAGAACACCCCCAAAATCCCAAACCCTCATTTTCTTCTCTCTTCCGCCGTTTTTCACCTCCTACACTCTCAAATCTCCATTTTTGTCTCAAATCGACGATATTAATCGGAATTTACTTCAAATATCATCTTCTAAACCTGTTGAAATCATTAAAGTCGTGCAAACAACATCTAAATCCCCTCAATCTTCATCTTTCAAGGTAATTTTTCTAAACTCTCTATTTCATTATTTTGAACATAGGATTAGTTGTAATTAGTTCTAGGTTGAAATAGTGATCGGGCATTGCTAATTTAGGGATTATAAACTAGATGTTACAACTAATTTCATCAAAAACACAAGAATTTTTCAAAAAATTTTAAATTTTCGAAATAAAAAAAAATAATAATAAAAAAAATGTTATTTTTTTAAATTATTGTGTTTTGATTAAATTATGTTGTTGTTATGAAAAACTATACATATATTGTTTCTCAAAACCATATTTTTCAAAAGTTTTTCAAAAACTTTGCCCATTAGGATTGATTTAGAGAATCTTGAAATATTGAGGACTCATTTGAGTTTTGGGATTAATTGAATTGCATACATTTGTTTTAAAATTGCAGGTTATTCTATCTATTCTGATTTCCTTCACCATGTCAAATCCTAAACGTCCTAGGTCTTCATCTAGTCGTTCTAGTCGTCAACCAAATCCACCTCCAAATCCTCCTTCTATTCCAATTTCTAATCCCAATCCCACTGATCCTAACTTGACTATCCAAAATTCGTGTTTCAATCATCCTGGGTCTAGAAATCACCGATTTTGGTATTATCAATATTTCGATTCTTACAAAATCCGGGAAGAACGTATTCCTTCTCGTCAAGCTATGTTAGCTATCGATTTTAAATATCTTCCCATTTTACAAGAATGGAAATTTGATAAACTATTTGATCTTGAACCCATCGTTTACCATCAACTTGTTCGTATTTTCTACTCTAATGCTGTATGTGTTAAAAACCAAGCTGAAACCGAAACTATAGGAATTCGTTCCTACCTCCTAGGACAATTCTTATATATTGACTCGACATATATAGCCAATACATTTGGATTAGATAATGATGGTATTTCGAATGAAAAACAAATTTTAGGTTCTCGTTATAAAAGAAGAGATAGTGCGAGTGTCTTAGACCTACATGAGCGTTTTCTTCATCTAATGATTTCTTGGTGGTTTCGACCATCCGGAGGTCGTTATTCTACTCTTAGAGCTTTGGATCTTTGGTGGTTACATTGTTTCGAAAACCGTATTAAAATTAACCTACCTAAGATTATTTTTGCTGAAATTGTTGAAACCGTAAATCTTGTTCCTAACAAGAAACACTGTTCATCTCTAGTTTACGGTTGCTTTTTGAGTAATCTGTTTTCCAAAGCTGGGCTTAGAGTCGGTCTAGATGCCGTTTTTCCTCTTAAGAAACAAATAAATCTTCTTTCCTTAACGAGAGCGGGATGGGTAAAGAACAAAGAAACCGGTGAATGGGTTCGATCTTCTACTCCGGGAGCTAGTTCTTCACAAGCTCCACCCGAAGGTGACGTAGATCCCGAGCTTGAGCAATTAATGCAAGATATTGATGAAGCCGAAGATGAGCCTGATCAGCCCGAGGAGCAAGCACAACAAACGCATCAAATGCCTCTATATTTTCAATCCTTTATGGAGACATTCGATTTCCGATACGCTACCATGGACTCGCGCTTTTCCTCTATAGAGTCTCATTTATCCACAATGGGAGCTCAACAATTAGAGATTCTTCGGGAGATGCGTGCAAACAATGAATCAACCAACGCTCGTATCAATGAACTAACTCATGAAATGGCTGCTATGCGAGCCCGTTTTCCTCCTACCAATCCGGATGCTTGATTTTATGTTTAGCTTTAAAACTTTGAACAAAATGAATATTGTTTCAACATTTTGAATTGTTTGATTTTGTGGATTGTTGGATTTTGGATTTATGAATGGTGTGAACTTATATGTTTGGCGTGTTTTATTTTTGCATCATTTACATTATCATTAGCAATATGACCAATTTTGCCATATCACATTATTTATGAATATTGATTTATGAAACTAATGGCTAACCTCTCTTTTGATTGTGATCTTAGCAGCTTAAGCTTATAATTAATAAATCAATTGGCTAAATGATTTTCAAAACCTTGTTTTACAATGTCTTTTTGATTTAACAAAAAGGGGGAGAAGAATAAGTGTTAAATGTTTTACATAATAAATTGAAGTGGTGTTAAAGTAAGGGGGAGTAATTTCAAAACTTGATTTCAAAAATCTTAAAATTACTAAAATGTTTTGTTATATCAAAAAGGGGAGATTGTTGAAACATTTTAATATTTCGATATAACAAATTAAGTTAAATGGATTTTAAGATTTTCAAATTAAGTTAAATGGATTTTAAGATTTTCCAAATGATTTTCTAAGGATATTCGATATAACTATTCGAATATCAAAACATTACTCCAAATGTTTCAAAAATCATTTTTGATCCTTACTTAAGTGTAAAATTAAGTTTTAATCATAAAACAATTTCAAAATAATTTTACAAAGTATTTCGAACCAATTCAAAGCCAAAAATTCCAGATTGCTCAGAGGGAACCGATTCCCCCCCATAGGAGGAACCGATTCCCCCCTGAATGGTTTGGCTCCGAGATTTCCAGAATGCTCGGAGGGAACCGATTCCCCCCAAGGGGGTACCGATTCCCCCCTGTTCAACGGTCGAAATATTTGAATTTAACACTTAGGGAACCGATTCCCTATGAGGGGGAACCGATTCCCCCCACGCTCCAAGCTGTTTTATTAAATGTTTTCACACTAAAACGGCTATAATATCTTCTCTAATCATCCCCAACGTTCAGAAGTGATCCAAGGTGTATTTAAACAAGTTCTGAAGCCCTTGATCAGTAAGAAAATCATAGAGAAACAAGAGAGAAAGCATCAAACACAAAGTTTGTGCAATTCAAGCCAATTTTCATTCAATATTCATTTTGCTTTCAAAGAACACTTATTGTGCTCATTTGTAATTTTCTTTGAGTGTTCTTTTCTTGTTCTAGAATTGTGCAAACATCTTACCTTGTGAGGTTTTCTTGTAAGTTTGCAAATTTGTAATCTTCCCTTTGAGAAAAGAGTGTTCTCAAGAGTTGGGGTATACTCTTGAGGGAATTGTAAGGTTATCTCTTTGGCCTCAAAAGAAAGAACAAATTAGTGAATTTGTTGGAAAATCCTTAGTGTGGATAGCTAAGGTAGTGGATGTAGACTTTGTTTGAGAAAGTCGAACCACTGTAAATCGCTGTGCAATTACTTTCAATTTTCTGCAAAAGCTTCCACAAAATTTTTATTGCCAATTCACCCCCTCTTGACCAATTTCGTCATTCGATTAACTCAACAGAGAGTATTGTGTTTACTGTTCTGAGTGATACACCATGTAGGGGCTTAGAAAAATATTTTCTATGTAATTTGTTTTTTGTTGTACGTTTAGAGGATACATTCTTTTATATTTTGCTGTTGCTTTTGGAGCATCATTGTAGATTGTATCGATTATCGATCAATCTCATATTCAGATCATAGGTTTTATTACATAAATACTTTGTAACGTTGCAAGTCGAGCTTACACAAGCATATAAGTGGCTAATGGAAGGTTTTTGTGAGTAAATTATTGTTTTTTATTTCATAAAAGATATCTAAAAGATACGATAATTTTTTAATACATCAAAAAATACATCTTCTCTAAACAGCATACATATCGTAAATGATATTTCCTAGAAAACATTAAAAATATCATACTTTTATGGTTTAATATAAAAGTAAATGTCCAAACTATTTTATTTTCTCATTTAAGTGTCTAAATTATTTTTTAAGTCAATTTAGATGTATAATATTGCAAACATTATCACCTTAGTGTATCGGTCGTAACGACTGTTAGAAAATCGGTTAAATAATAAGTATCACATTTATATTTTTGAGAAATTTTATTTATTAAAAATATTTTTTTAAAATAATTCTCTCACGACATCACCTGCTCTCTCCCCCCGTTCTTACCATTGTAAATCCCAAATAACAAAGGCTTTGGGTCAATATTTGGCTAGTCCCGCGCCAAATGGTGAAAGGTCGATGGGTGGTCAAATGGCCGACAATTAATGTCGTTAGTGTTTCAAACGGCCGGCCGAATAGATTTAAGAGATCGAGTCTCACGGAGGGTATTTCATAATTCGAAGGTCTCCACGTAAATTACTCTAAACATGACGTTGGGAGCAACCTACTATCCTACTTCCCCCTTACCCCATTACATATGAGAATAAGGGTCAGTTAATTTTCTTTAATGTTTCAGGGGTTAAAGTTTAAAATTTTAGGGGTTAAGATAACCGTCGATTACTAAATGAGCGATCACAAATGAGGTGGTCGTTTGTATGTGGCTGCGACTAGGGCGATGACAATAGTAACGGATGGTGTTTGGGGTTAGAAATTAAAGTTTTTAATGTTTGGGATTTTTTTAGATTTAAGAAAATTTTGAGGTTTTTTAAAATTATATTTTTAAGACTTTTATTGTAAATAAAAATTTTAAAATTTTATAAACACAATATGTGTCATTTAACGAAAATTTTTAATGATAATTACATCTGAGACATTTAAAATAATAACATTTATAACATTAAATACTTATATTGATCGAAAAAATTAGACATCTAAATGAAGAAAAATATATATATTAATTTGAATAATTTTTTTGTATTAAGTCTATTTTCTAAAAGTCTTTTCAAAATCGTGTTATCTTTTTAAACAAAACTCGAAACAAAATAACAAACTATATATATATATATATTTAAACTTTTTTTAAAAAAATATATATTAATTTAATCAACTTTGTACATAAACGCAAAAATATCTTACAATCAAATATTTCCGATAGTCAACAACCCAAAATCTGCCACGTGTACTTTCACTTCCTTCTTCTCAGATAACCTACAGCCTGAGTGGACCGTCTCGACAAGCTAAAAATAGCCACGCGGCTAAAACTTATTTCTCTGAATCCCTACCCGAGTCAACTGTGAATTTGCCGAGTCTCGTCTACGCCTCGCTCCATATCCGACTCGGAAACGGTCGCGTTTATTGGTGAAGGGCAAGGACTCATCGGCGATTTATAAGATTGACTCGACCCCGAGTCACACCCACTCGACTTACCTATGAATCCTTCGATATTTCATTTAGGGACCTCAATCGACAATTTCCTCCCACACCCGAATGCCGACGAACCAGCTGGTTTATCCTCGTGCTGACACGTGGTACACAAGTCGGATCCTAGATTTCTTCCGGATTCTCCGCCCGACTGTTCGTTAATTGTAATAACGAAGTCTCCCGGGTTGTCGGACACGGGCACGGACTCTTCAACGGAGGTCCGACAAAGAGGACACGTGGAGTGAGAGTGAAACCATATGTCGATACACTCCAAATGAAAACTGTGGTTGCACTTGGGCAAGACCCGACCCGATTCGTTCTCTTCGAATTCCGACAAGCAAACGGCGCATTCAAGGAAGGAATCCGGATGCGTTTGAGAGGAGAAGGTGAAGACGGGGAGCGACTTGAGAACACGCGCATCGAGGCCGCGAGATAAAGCGACGGTGGCGGGGTTCGCCTCGTGGTCGACGTAGAAGACGATCTGGGATCGGCGGCGGCGGCGATTGCGGAAATGACGGCGGCGAGCGCGTTGAAGGGACCAGCGGGCGTAGATATGGAGGGCGAACATGAGCACCGCAACGAAAAACAATACGACTATTGCGCTGAGCATGATTTTGCCCCTCAATGCGTAGCTGCTTCCGTTGTTATTGTCGTCGGGAGGGGAGCTAGAAGGGTTTCTTATTCCACCGTTGTTTCCACTCATGGCTTGCAAGCTTTTGTTTTTTTGGTGCTGTCTGTTTGGTTAGAAAGAAAATGGGCGGAAAAGAAAGAATAGAATTGGGAGGATAAAAGGAAATAGAAGCAAAGGAAAGTTCTTGAGAGTTTCTTAAGTAAAGGGCTTTGAATTTCCTTGCACCTGCCATTTCAGTCTACCACCAGTACGTCAGCTTTGACGCGGGATTTTGTTCATTTACTTCAATGCCCCTTTATGTTTATTGTAGCAGGCCACACTAATCCAACATTTAGTTGTAGTTGTTGGGGATATGATAATTTGATTCTAATTTGATGGGTTTATATTTCATAAAGTTGGAATTTTTTTTATAAAAAAATATTTGGGTCGGATTTTGTAAATAATGAGGTTGGTTAAGATCGAATTTGATTTTATGATGAAAAATTCCTACTCAACCTAATTTGGAATAATATTATATTTTATATATATATTTAGGATAATTGCTATAATACTCTTTTATCTATATTTTTTTCAATTAAGTCTTTATTTTAATAAATAAAAATAAGTTTTTATCTTAAAATTCATGTCGAATTTTAGATCAAATAAAACTTCTTTAAACTCAAATCGATTAATATTCAAATGAAGATGTATATTTTTGGATCGATAAAAAATTCAACCTACAAAAGGATAAAATCGATCCAATCGAATCATAATTTTGGATTTGATATTATTATGATTATTATCTAAATATATTACTCCATTTGTCCCATTATTTGTGTCATATATTGATTATGCACATAGTTTTAAGAGATACATTTAACTAAGAGAAATGACAAAATTATCTTTAAAAAGTGATTGATAGATTTAATAGATTTATTTTGATAAATATAAAAGAGTAGTACATGTAAAGGTAAAAACATAAAATATGGTGTTTTATTTGTTGATTTTTCTAATAAGATATTTTGAATGAAATAATTTTATATTTAGTGAGAGTAACAAATAATCTACGAACAAGTATTAGATGTAGACATGTGGTATTTATTTTGTAATCTTAAAAAACAAAAAATTCAAAACTTAAAAATATTTCATTATAATAATTCATTAATTTCAAATATGAACTATGAAATAGGTATACTTATAGTTTTGATCTCTGTATTGTATTCAAATTTCAGATTTAACCTATGCACCTTAATTTAATATAACTTAATATTTTTATTTTTTTATAATGTGGTTAGTTAGTCCACATACTTAACACCATTAATTGTTTTTACTTAAATTTTATTAAAAATTAACTATTTGGTCTACCAATTAAATTATAAAAATAGAGAGACTAAATTATATAAAATTAAAATACAGTAACAAAATCTGATATTCAAACATAATAAAGCTATCAAAACCAAAATCTAATAAAAAAATACAATACCTCATCCATAATTAAAAATATCAAGGGCACGTCATGCTTTCACGTGATATTTCCATTCACATTTATCAGAGAATTCAATTCACTACAACATATTTCACAGATAATGCTTTCCCTGTAATGAAGAAGGGTTGGTACTTGTTATTCAAAAAGTGCTTAAACTTTATTATAAGTCATTGTACTATATCAGAAAGTTTATTTTAATCTTTATATTATATAAAGGTATATATTAATATCTATTTGTTATAATTAATTGATCTAGATATTTTTGTTTAAACACCCTTAAATTCTCTATCAATTTCAAAATTAAATAAATTAATTTCTTTTAAAAAATTGATCATTATAAAAATAATAATTAATCCACTTGTATTTTTAATTTGAAATTAAGAGGTATATAAAGCAATAACAGATCTAGAAATATTTTTCAAGGTGGACACATATGTATTAATAATTAAAATATTCATTATTTTTTTACAATTACTATAAAATTAATTATATGATTTTTTTAAACAGAATGAGATGATTATAATATAATATAAATTTAAAAGTTATTTTTAATATATTAATAACATACACATAACTTATTTATATGACTGTTTGAATTCGATTTTTAAAAAAAAATATTCTCTTTTATTATTAAAATTAATAAATAAATTTAATTTATGGAATATGATAGCCATAATTTTCAATAAACTCTTAAGTTTAAATAAGTAGCAGGCCCATCTCAAATCCAAAGGACTTGCCACTCTCCAAAGGCAATTCCCACCTTGAGTCCCCCACTCCTAAAAGCCAAAATTCTCTTCCCTTCCTCTTATAAACTTACCCAAAATACGATTTCGTCGGCAAAATTTTCATACCCAGAGAGCAAAAAGAAGAGAAAAAATGTCAAACAAGTCCCCCATCTTCCCCATGACCGGGCCTCAACACTTCAGTGACTATGGCTTTGACCCCCAAATTGACTATTTTCAGGTCCCCCATATTGACTGTGGCTTCCATTTTTATGATTCTTTGTTATCTTCTTCACTAACCCTTTTTCATTGTTTTTCTTAAGCCCAGGTTTTGGAAGAAGCAAGGAAGTACAAGAAAGAATCGTCATCATCGAGATCCATTGATTCCCTTCACTTCAAGCTCCAGAAACCGTTATCGAAAGACGAACAGTTTTACCGGAAAACCAACAATCTCAAAGCCAAGAACAAGAAGAAGCGTTGGTGGTGGAAAAATGCTCTCTTTTTCTTCAAGTGGAAGAAATGGGGTAGTGGCGGTGGTCTAGATCTCGAGCTCGAGCCCGACGTTCATCTAGCCAGGGCTCGAGCTTTCCGAGCTTCGATGTCGGGACCGGTTTACATAACCGATAGCCGATGCTGTTCGGGCTCAACCACTCCATGTAGAATCACTAGCCGCCCATCTTCAGGTCCATTGGAGATTCCATATTTGAGTCTTAGGGAACTTAACATGGAGCAACAGCAAAGGGTTTCCACTTCTGCTGCAATGCCTATATATATGGTCTCTTGAGGAATCCATCTTGTTTTTAAGGTCCATTTTAATGGAGGAATACAGCTTCATCCTCCATGATTGTTGCAGCAAAAGCTTGTTTGATTTTTATGCAATGTGTTGACTGAGACGCTTCAGCTTTCCCCTTGGGGTTTGATTAAAAGTGTTTTAGTTTACTATCAAATCTTAGAAATGCACAAAAATCAATGGTTTTCTTTAGAGTTTATGGGGTTTCAGAATTCAGATTCCACTGTTCCTTTAAACAATGACCTTTGATGGATGTAATATAAAGACCTGTTAATATCTTTTGCGTACTCTTTGTTTATATTCGTTTTCTTTTTGGGTTAGTTGCACCGGTAGCCAGTTACATATAAAAATTGGCTTAAATATATAAGAAGTGTCTAATATATGTATTCTCTTTTAATTTAGTGTTTAACGTTTATTTTGTTTTAATTTGATGTATAATATTTTATTCTGTTACTCAAAATGGGTTAAACCGTGACCTAACTTTAGTTTTTTTAAATAACACGTGTTACAATCTCGTAATTTTAAAATTTATTTTTAAAAAATATTAAAAATATTATTATATTTATAAAAAAAACTCATTATTAGTTGATCCTTATTCCCATATGTAATGGGGTAAGGGGATGTATGATAGTAGGTTGTCCCCAACGTCAGGTTGAGAGCAGTTTCCGTGGAGACCTCCAAATTATGAATTGTCCCCGTGGGACTCGATCTCACGACCTCAAGGTTAAGAGCTTTGTATTCTACCAACTGAGCTGGACGGACAATTAAAAAAAACTCATATTTCTTTTAAATTACAAAAAACCTCAAAATCTTTAAAACCTCAAAATCCTAACCCTAAACCCCCCTCTACCACACTTTCATCGACCACCGCCACCGGTGTAGTCCTTGTCATCATCCTAATTATAAGTCGTCGTCAATTGACAGTCAAAATAGCTTGGGATTGTGATTTTCATCTTAGGGTTCGCGGGGTATAAAATATCGATTTGTCGTAGATCAACCATTGATCAGTCACGACTTCATAGGGGTTTTGGTCGTTGGGGGAGGTGAGGTCAAGTGGAGCTTTTTCGATAGCAAATGGCAATGTTTGACGTGGGTTTTGGGGTTGAAATGAAGATTTTCAAAATTTTGGGGTTATTTCAAAATTTGTGTTTTCTTTTTAAAAATATATATATAATTTTATTTTTTAAATTTTATATAATTTTTTTTAAATTATCAGATTATGACACGTGTCACTTAACAGAGAAAACTAATGTTCCGTCACGGCTTGACCCATTTTAAGTAACATAATAAAACGTTAGACACCAAACTGAAAAAAATAAACATTAGACACTAAACTGAAAAACAGGCATAGGTTGAACACATTTAGTATATTTAAGCATCTAAAAATTTAATATAATCTTTAGATAAAAACTCACATCTATATCTATTTAGATTTTATTTTTATTATATAAAATAGGAAATTAATTAAAATATATATATAGAGAGAGATATATTATTATAATTATTTATAAATACATAAGTGATAATTATATTTTTTATAGTTCAAATAAAAAAATCATTCTAAACTCGATTCAATTTTTTAAAAAAATTGATCATGTTTATTGCTACGTGTATTTTTTTATATTTGACAAAATCATTAAAGTTTAAGTGGGTTATTTATTTATTTGTTGATCATGTTCTAATCAAGTTAATAATAATTAAATGAACATATTTGTAATTGATTTACAAAATTTTAAGGGACTAAATTAAATTATCAATAGAAAACATACATAAAAAACTAAAATATAAGATAATTTGAAATTTTCAAAAGATTTGACTACTCCACCCCCTTCGATCCATCACTAATTGGCCATAAACTACGACAAAACATTAAGCTTAAGTTGCATATTGGGTCTGCTTGATTATGGGGGATGAATTATGGGACCTAATTTGTCACATTGTTAAAATGATATTTTGGTTGAATAATTCGGTTTGAATTGATTTAACTGATAAATTTTGATGGAATTTATAAAAAAAAAGTTTATCAATATTTATATTTAATTTGAATTTTAGCATTGTGTTAAAAATAAATCAAATTATTTTTCACTTCATTGAAAAAAAACTTAATTAAATATTTTTTAAAAATCATATAAAATTAAATTAGATTTTTTAATAATTACTATAAGTTAGTAAAAAAATCTTAATTATTGATGGTTAAATTTTTTAACGATGAGTACTAAAATAAAAATAAAATATAACATTAAATATGATTTAAAAAGAATAATTGAATGACCAAAATAAAAATATAAGAATAGATAAGGTACTGAATATGCTTTTTTACCCTAAACTTTATTGTTGCCTGCACTGCTAACTTTTCCAGCCTGTTGATGTTTACGTAACTTGTACCATGCACATGGGATAATTTACATGGATTGGTTAAAACATTCTTCTGTGTCAAATACGAAGAACTCGGAACTAGAGGCGGAAAGATGAACAATGAAAAGCAGAGCCATAGATAGAGCATGTCGGGATTTTCCTAAAACATTATCTAAAGATCGATCGGCAAAAAGTCATTCCCACCGGCCGGAAAACGGGCCATTAGAATTAGACACATGCACACTTAAACCTACCATGTTAAGACATTGTGTTCGTGTCTTGAAACTTTTTAGTTTCACAGTTGGAAACGAATCGAGCTTCGACTGCCATGCCTGAATCAATCTCTTGGAGGTAACTAGAATGGAATGTAGTTAACGAGAGCACGACTTGAAATCAATCTCTTGAGAGTATCATGAGTTACGTATGAGCCTGCACCAAAATCCAAGAAACGAATATTAATGCAACGGAATGAGCAGAGCGTCATGCACAAGAAGACAATCTCTGTCTAAAGAACACAACTGCAAATGCACTTGTAGTAATTGGCAATTTATCTGGGTTGCCTACACAATTACAGAACCGGCATCGTGGAGTGCAGACTACAAATGTCTAAAGTACACTCCACGAAATCAGGAAAGAGCAGAGCATCTTGTTCGAGGGAGGAAAACATGGTTAATCAACCAATGCAACCCCCTAGACCGTAGCGAACAGAGAAACGCGTCCATGTAAAAGAATGTAATGAAGAGGGTGGACGTTAATGTATATTGTGCTGATATCAATGGAGCAAAGCTTACATGGAAATGTTCTAATGCATATGCATTCATATACATTTCACTTATAGATTCTGTTTATTTAGTAATGGCTAATGAGCATCAGATCAATACCGCAAGTAAATCAATGGTTAAAGAACGAAAAAGGTGTAGCCACAGACCGAAAGCATGCAAAATTCATAGAAGCCAGAGGGCAAATCAATTATAGTTCAATTTTACCCATGGAGATCTACTGGCCTTAGTTATGCAATAGAGGTTGAACCTTAATGCCATTGATACTAAATACATTCGGTACCACAGCCATCGGAGGTATAAAATTGCCAACCTAACCAAGTCCAGGTACGGCAAATGGATAAACTCACAACGATACGAAACCCTCCAACTGTGTATGGGTAGCATTAAGAATTTGTTTTAAAGTGGCATCACTATAGCTGAAATACTCGATTGAACATGAAAGTTACTAATCCTTCATCGAAAAAACCAGATAAAGTTCGAGACTTAAAGCTCTGGGGTTTTCTCCTTTCATCAAAAGCAATCAATCCAAGTATCCACAAGGACCATAACAATGAAGAAGCTAAGAGTTACATTACACTCCAAGAAGACAAAGCCAAAGCTTAATGCAATTTGATTCCAATCTCTAAGTATCCAACATCTACACTATTTAAGAAAAGCTAATGTGTATTGAAGTTATGTATCAATAAAGCCTAGATCTGCTCTAATTTAAACCAAAACACTTTATATTGAAAATTGAAGCTTTGAGATCAAATGTAGATGGAAAATTGGGTTACCGAAAGTGCAACCGACGCAATGCCAAGTAGGTCCATGTCTCTTATCGAATTCCTTCTTTATATACTCTGCTACATCTTTCTCTACATTGTTCTTCTCAAATGCCTGATCAAAAACCCAAAAGAACACAAAAAAAAAAAAAACCACTCAAAGTAAACAATTTTACAACAATTTAAGGCAAAGCTGGATCAAATGAACAGAACCCAGAAACGAGATCGAATCAAAAACCATGATAAACGACGATGAATTGATTAAAAATGGAAGCTTTGGAAGGTGAGAGTAAAAGATAACTAACGGAGATGGCTATATTGACAGCTTCTTTTTGCAGTTCGTCTTTCATATCGGCGCTTTTGATGACGACTTTCTTGGGTGGTGTTGAGGTAGCAGACTCGGCAGTGAACGCCGGAGAAAGCTTTCGATCATCGGTTGTCGGTTTCACCATCGGAGCTCCGTTGATGCTTCTCTTTGCTTCTTCAGAGCTCATTTTTCTCGATACGTGACTCATAGCACTCAATTTATGCTACATTTGAAAAACAGTCCTCACAAGTCACAAAAATCTGCAAACCTCCATCTGAAGGATTTCAATGCCCCCTGAAACTCTAGTAGCTTAAACCTCAAGCTCACATGCAGCCAACTAAACATCCAATGCGGACAAGAAAAACAAAGCAGAATACATAGAGATAAACCAGGCCATCACATACCAATACAATCATTGGCAAATACACACAGCCACAACGAATAAATTATAATCAAACAAATGCACAAACTGATGACCAGGTAATCATTAACACTTTTACCCGTACCACACTTTGTCTTGGAATCTGGTGACACCTTCCTTTGCTAAAGACTGGGCTTCAAAATTCAATTCTCTATAAACTGATCTCACCTCTACTAAGAATGACTCTTTATAGGCTGAGCATTTGTGTGCTAGTTCTAAGAAAGGAGAAGGGACTAACCTTGGGTTATTTATCCAATCAACGGGCACGCTACTATCAGATTCGATAGTCAGATTACGCTGTCCGAACCAACTGGAATCTGCGAACAGCATACATGCTTCAAGAATAGCATTGAGTTCCGCTTTCATTGGGTCTGAAAAGCCGAAAGATTTTGAGAAGAACAAGAGTCTGGAACCGTTTGTGTATTTTCCTTCTTCTTTAAGTTTTGGATTCAAATTTCAATACAGACTAAGAGTAATATTTCATTTCTGAACTAATTCTAAAGCCCAAAATAAAAATAAATTAACATCATAATAAAATAATCGTAAAATAAAAGGTAAAGACAAATTTAACCCTAACAATAAATAAATAAAAAAGTCAAATGAACAACTCTGTAGTGCTTTGTTGTTCTTGCTAACCTGTCCATGCAAATAAGCAACAAAAAATTTATTAAAATAAAGAAATGATTTTACATTTATTAAATGGGCATACATTTGTGCCCCAAAAGTATGAAATGTGCCCTAAAGGCATATGAACATATGAAGGACTAATTAACCTAATATTTTTCTTGTCCTTATCTTCAATTTTTAATTAATTACTACCCACAATCTAATTCTCAACTTCATGCTTCATTGCATTGTGATGAAGTGTTGAATTTGGCATTATCATGTTATTTAAATCCACACATAAAATTATGGGATTACCCATGTTATTTAGAGTTGCAATATAATATTTTAGCAGTTATGAAAATTTGATCGATTAATGTTCGATGATAGAATTATTCAATGGCTGTAAATTAAGATGTGTTTATTGACGGTTGATCCTCACAATGTATTGTTAGTTAACGTCTGACTCTTCGAGTTTTACGATTTTTGTCAATTTATTTATCTTCCGTGTCGTGTTCTTCTTGAAGATAGAGATATTAATACACCTATTTTTACCCGTTATTAAATTGTAGATTGAGTTAATTACACTATACATTCTTAGATTATGTTTCTCATTCTAAATTTGTCTTCAAATTTATTCTAAAATATGATCTTCATTTTATATCGATCCTTAAATTTATAACATTTTAAATTCATCGCTTATTGTCAAGGTTACGATTTAACAAAATTTATACTCTTTCTCGGAATATTTTTTCATCTATAAAACTCGAACATAATATCAACTATCTATTCATTGAAGTGAACAAACATCGAGATTTGATAATAAATGCAGCATAGTTTGATAGATATGGAGACCCACCAAGAAAATACAGTGCAATAAACTTGAAATGAATGGAGGTGTCGAAGAAGATGAAGAAGAAGACGACATATGGTCAAATCGAGCCAGTGTGGGGGCTTTGGTTTGGTCTAATTGTCGAACAGCCTTAACTACAAGTACTCACTGCTTTACCTCCCAAACATGTTTCAAGCTAAGACATGATTGTCTCTCCTATGGGGCCTAACACACACACACACACACAATTTTAATTATAATTATATATAACATTGGATAAGCTCAAAGCCTAAATTTCAATTACTCCTTTTTAACATATTCAATAACATTGAACTAAATTATACATAATTTTATTATAAGATAACTCTTTCAATTTAATTTTTTTATTCACAATTACAATAATCATTTAATCTGAATTCATCAGGTTTTGATATGACTCGACCCTATAATGTTATTTTCTTATTAAAAAATTGTGTTCGTGTTGGGTCAAGGTTTTTAAAAGATAAAATCAGGTCAAGTTCTAAATTTAGGTAAAAAATATCCTATCTAAATCGAAAATAATAGTTTATTTGACCTTTATATATCTAGTGATAATTGTTATAATATTTTTATTTATTTATTTAGTAAAATAAAAATCTGAAAAAAATTATAAAAAATATTATATCAATTATCTTTAGATATATTTAAAATTATAAGGTTTGAAATTCTTTACTCCAAAATCAACTGATATTTAGTGTAGTAGATTTTATATAAATAAATTAAATGTTTGCACGTGCTCCAGGGACACACACACTCTCTCATCTTCCCTTCATTAATCTGAATGCCATTATTTTTTTTTTCCATTTATTCTCTAATTCAATTACAATCTCTGAAACTCTATCTCTCTACTCCCACTTCTCTTGTTTTCATCTCTTTCACTTGTCCCTCTCCAATGGAAGGAATCAAAGGAGGAGGAAGAGTTGGTGTTGGTGTTTACGCTAATGACGATGACATGGCTGACGGTATGCAGTTTTGCAGTAACCATCGAAACAACAACAACGGAATCTGTGCTTTTTGCCTACAAGAAAAGCTTGGCAAGCTTGTTTCCTCTTCGTTTCCTTTACCTCTCCGTGCCTCGCCGTCATCATCTTCCTCTTCTCATTCTTTTAGATCCGATACTACTTCTAATGTTGTCGTCGATGATGGTAAAGAACATCATACAAGGCGGGCCAGAATGCCTTTCGTTTTAGCGAAGAAGAAGAATGATCATGATCGTGGACGTGATGGTGTTATGTTGAAGAGAAGCAAATCGACTGCAATTCCCAGGGGAAGCAAGAATGGTTTCTGGTCTTTTCTTTACCTTTCTTCGAAAAAACAAGACTGTGAAGTTAGTTCTATTCCAGCACCGGCAGTAGTAGCAGCCGCTGGCGGTGGTTCTGACGACGGTAATCGTAAGGTTTCAAGGTCTAGATCCGTCGGATGCGGAAGCCGGAGCTTCTCCGGTGATTTCTTCGAAAGGATCTCGACTGGTTTCGGAGATTGTGCACTGAGAAGAGTTGAATCACAAAGGGAAGGCAAACCGAAAGTTAGTTCTTCATGTTCATCATCATCGATGAAAGAAAGAGTCAAATGCGGAGGGATTTTCGGTGGGTTCATGATATTAACATCATCTTCTTCATCGTCATCATCATCATCGTACTGGGTTTCGTCTGCAACTGAAGATCACATCAATGGTAAACCAACAAACAGCGGCCATGGTGGCCGGAGCAAGAGCTGGGGTTGGGCTTTCGCTAGTCCCATGAGAGCTTTCACTAAACCTCCTTCTTCCAACAAAAACAACAACACAACTCCAAATCTGTCTGCAATCCCTTCATTGTTAGCCATTACAAACTAAAAATTTCGATTTATTCAAACTCGTGGGCCAGTGTCACGTATCGAACACATTACAAATTATTTTTTCTGGGTTTTTTAATACGTCTGCAAATTATCATGTTCTAGGAAGTTTCTTGCTGGTAACAATAATTTGTATTCTTTAGTGATGTATGTAATGTTATTGCATAAACTTGTAATTTTGTACCTTTTGATTAATGTTAATGGCAAAGAGATGATGTTTATTTTAATGTTGTGTGACAAGTTTTCACATGCAAACACATGCTTGTTGGTCTTAGACACATGAGGATAGATCTATTACATATAATATTTGGTTAATTCGAGTTAAATAATTACCATTAAAATCGATATTCGATATTTTCCCTCGAAAATTTTCCTCTCAATGTAGGGGCAGGAGAAAGGGGAAAAATATCTGGGAGGCAAGATTGAAGAAGTGCATGACTGCAAGGAGACAAGGGAAGAACTGCCGCTGCACAATGCGACACTGTTATTCAATCACAACATTAATTTTGTGGACCATGTTAGAAATTTTAGGTTTGAGCAGTTGTGTCTGTAGGGTATATATTGTCAATAGATTAATAAACTTCTAAACAAATACTACTTTATATTCATCTCATACTATCTAAAAAAACACAGATACTCACCTACAGGTAAAAGTATCATACATGTCCTTGGATTAAAGTGTGGATTGCATTTTTGGTGTTTATACTTTTATGTATAATAATCGAATACCTAAATTTTCATCGAGTAATTTAGATCGAATATTATATAAGTTTGTTTAAACATATATATCATTTTCAATTAAGTTTATTCCATTCACAACAATATAATTTAAATTTAAATATTATTTAAGAAACTTTATACGTCATCATATCATATCAAACATAATATTGGTTGATTTTTATTAAATGTATAAATTAGAAGGGGAAAAAAGAATAAATGAGCATTTTTATAATAAAACTATTAATTTTACCATATGGGCTCAATGAAATGACGTGGTTTCAGTTTTAATAATGGTAAAACTAGAGGGTTGGCATGTGGAGCTTGGCCCGTAAAATGATCAAATTATTCACAAGTCCTTTTAAAAATTATATAAAGTATATGTTAGTACGTGGGAAAATTACATTTTGTCCCTCTAAATTAATAAGATTAAAATTTAGTCCTTTAAAAATTATAAATTCATAAACTAATGCACTAATAAAATTATATTTTGGCTCTCATAAAAAAATTATAATTCGATTTCAGCCCCTTGAATCTTTTCTTTTAGCTTCATCAAATTTAACCTAATTGGATTCATTCCTTATTCACTACTAAATCTAAATGCGGTATCATTTAATTAAGCATATTTTACTCATTTTTTAAATGTACAAAGACGTGTTACTCTTATACGAGAGAAATATTATATCATGAACTCGCCTTATCACGTTTTTTATGATTTTGACCCAAAAAAATCACCCAACTCACTCTTTTTCTTCTATGTCACTATTTCACTCGTAATTAACTTTCAAATTACTACCAACTTCTATACTTGCATGAAAAAAGTAAAGATTTGTCAACAGATAAAATGACATGAAAGAGAAAAAAATGTGAGATGAATGATTTTTATAAGTTGAGACCATAAATAATGAGGTGAGGATGGTTCATATGAGAATTTTCATATACGAGACTATTAAAATACTTTACATTCGAGATCATAAATCATAAATTTAAATAGAGTGTATAACCCTAAAACTGTACAACGTACTCTTTTGAAACTTAAATTTCAAAATGATTTTTGGTGACAATTAGTGTATTTCCGACAAAACTCGTGCATGATCAAGTTGATTGTTGGAACGAAAGACATGTTTATGGCTATAAATAGGTTTCGTTTGGAGTTTTGTTCTTCGAGACAGGAATCTGGTTTTGCTTTTGGTCTGTTTCCATGGAGATTTATGGTTAAAAATCTGGGGCTATCCTTTTGTGGGGTTAACATGAAGAGATTAGCCTTCACATATACATTATTGATTCCCACATCGAACAACTGTTTCAATCTTTTTGTTGCGATCTTATCAGCATGGAATTATATGTTCTAACATGTTTATTTGCAATGTTTCTCTAAATCGAGTGATGGGAAATTCGAATTTCATAACGAAATTAATCACATGTTTAAGATTAGGCCATATCGACTGTCGGCATCCATTGATGTCTATGGAGAAATCTATGATTATAACCAAAGTCAGCAAAGCTGGGACTTTGAGATCCAAAAACCCTGAATTTTTTTATGATGGATTGAGTTAGTGAATAAAATCGTGTGATTGTCCATTAACACAAAGTCTTTTCATGATCCTCATATTATAGAGTATACTTGACAACTTTGTATTTTGGTGCAGGAACATACTCTACTGTGTCGAGCATGAACACTACCGCATCGAGTACGAGCACATCGAACCGGAAAAATGATATATTTTTGTGTTATCATAAAATTAACTTTCAAAATAGTGATGGAAAGAAGAGAGGATTTGAATAATGAAAGTAGACATGGAAAACGACATGACAAGTTGCTTCGTGGGTAGGTACATGCATATATATGGTATTGTCTTAGTCTTTTACTTGAGATTAGACAACACACAGCCTTATAATGCATATTTGATATTGTTGTTGGTATAATTTTCGAGTTTTTCAGATCAGTTGAGAGATCTCATCGTATATGAAACATGTAAATTTCTGTTGTCGAATTGCTCGAGTGTCGAAACTGAAATATGATCATAAGAGTTTGAATAATTCGATTTTTATCTCAAACTTTAAAAATAAAGCTCGAACTCGACTTCAATCAATAATACTAAACGAAGTGTTTTAACCTTGCATATCTCCAAACCTTTTACAACAGATGGATGGGGTAAGAGCACAAGCTGAAAAATGCGTGGCTAGAACCGACGGATATCCTTGGGTGGTTTGAAGTTGAGAGGATGAGTCTGTTCGGTTGCGGTTTCATCTTCTTTCCACATTTTGATTGTCTTGTCGGCTTCGCATGAAACCAATCTCGTACCAGTTATGTCGTAAGAGAGTGAGTATATACCCGCTTCACTATCCAACGAGCCTGTAATAACCACACATTGCATCGATCATCTTCCCACAGCGCAACAAACAAAAACTAGCCGGAAAAAAAAAGGATCCAGAAAAACGTACCAGGCTGCACAATTGTCTGAGCTTGCTGGAAATTGTGACCACTTCTCCAGTCCCAAAACCACAAACTCCCATTGTCACCTTCAATAATTTGGAAAGTGGAAATGATTAATGAAGATATTAGAGGTAAAAATTATCTGAAACCAAAAGAAAAATTATAAGCACCTCCGGTAGCCATGACACCATCCTCGTTGACGGCCATGGTATTAATTATAGTCTTTTGCTGAGAGCTGCTCGACAAACACAAACAATGATACGATGTTAGTTCATTAAGAACACAATAAGCATCTAGAAAGCCGGCTATGAAGTGAAACGTCTTTCACTTACAGCATATTGTGCAAGAATTCTCCCTTTGGAAGACTGAATTTCTTTATGTTGTCGGCTGATGCGGATGCAAAAGAATGCCTGACAACAGAAAGGTCGAGAAACTTTAAGAGCAGAGAATAGTGACATAAATTCAGCTAAAGCTCCGATTTTTCACATAAATTAATAAATAGGATCTAGGTCCACATACTCTTTAGGGTGTGGTGCCATTGCTCGCACAGACTTCTTATGATGTGTTAGAGTTGACATCGTTTTTCCTGCATATCGAACAACCAGTATGTTACAAATGGAAATAAGATAATGAAACAAAGCTGAAGATGCCATATAATACAAGTTCAATTTACCATATCTAAGGTCCCAGAATTTTATGGTCGTATCATGGGAGCCCGTAACAACTTGTGGATCCTGTAAAATGCAATGCAGAATTCAAAAAACATAATGCAGTTGAATAAAAGAAATTCCAATTAAGTTTCTAAAACCATCAAGGGATGAAATTTTAGCGACTTCTCCTGTTAAAGAAATACAAAGGAAAGAGATCATTGTACCGTGGGTCGAGTAAAAACCGAGCAAACGGTGTTATCATGCCCAGACAATGCAAAAATTTGCATCTTAGTTCGAATATCCCATACCTGAAATTTGTTGCTTATCAGATACAAAATTGATTTCATGGCTCCAAAATAAGCAAAACCATAAAAAATCCAATTACATAAGCAACTAAATTAACTTTTAGCTAAAGAAGACATTATTCCAGAGTAGTTTCTATGGAGATAAATTTCATACCCGGCAGACAGAATCACGTCCCCCGGTTAGCAAAATGTCAATAGTAGGATGAAGAGCCAAGCAATAAACACCACTCAGATGACCATGATAAGACCGGATAACCTATAGAAAAATTTATAAGCTTTAATAACAAGAATGATTCAATGGTGCAAGGGGATGAAAAAAATATTTCTCAAGTTTTTATCTGTTACATGTACAGAGCAATGCGTTTGGAGTTCTGACCTTGTTCTGTTCAAGGTCCCAGCATTTAACTTGCTTATCGTCACCCGCTGAAAACATATATGTGTGTTTGCTACTAACGGCAAGGCCTGTGAATAAAATATATATTTTCTCAATGATCCTAAATCCATGATTGATAACTATACACCACAGGGTGTTCACCCGGTTAAAGCTATCGATACCTCGTATTTGTTCAATATGTCCAGTTAACGTGAGCTTTAGCCTTCCACTTGCTACATCCCATATCTAGCATGTCAAAATTGATGCAAGACGAGTCATTTCTCAACAAAGCCGACAAACTGTCAAATCAAAATCTGTTTTAAGGAGCCAGTACAGACCTTGATCGTACGGTCTGCAGAACCAGTACAAAACCAGTTGTTACTTGGATCAAAGGCCACTGATCTCACCCATCCCAAATGCCCACTGATGACCTGCATTAATTACCCACTTATCAATGTCGGTTAATTTTGAGGAACTGAAATGCGAAGGAACAGATGTGAAATCTTCAATCTGAGGTATTCCGCTAATGACAAAGACCACTGGCATTTCTATCGTCTATCATGTCAAAGTGTAAGAGATTATCACCCTGTAGTTCTTCCAGGGACGATGCCATACGGGACGTGGCCACTTGCTCGGGATTCTTTCTATTATCGCAGAGGTTGTTAACCTGTCACATGAAAGAACCCATAAATCTTCAATCAACACATCCTATATCTGCAGGATATGAGTGGCATGCCAGAACAGAATAAAACTTAAATGGTTTCACCAATTCGCAATTCAGTTATAAATCATATGACCAAATAAATCCTGCCATATGCACAAGCCACAATGTATTTGAACACCTTCACTTAACAAAACTTGCCACAATAACAATGAACTACGAAACAATAACAATCACATGATTGAACAACTAATATAATTATCAAGGAGTCAGAATAACAAAGACAGTGACAAACCTTTCAGAAAAGGGAGCAGAAGAAGAAACCATGACAGTGCCTTTGCCAGAAGTACCAACATTGTTTCTGCGGAAGAAGAAATGGATTAAAGGATTAATCTGATTTTTAGCATTAGAATTAAAATCCACATCTTCCGTTTCATTGGAGAAGACAATAATAGAACCAGCACATAGAAAACTTGGAGCAAGAGAACTTACTGCATCTTTGGCTGCAAAGATGGACCGACAGCTAAAGCATTCGGAGTCCCTTCCTTTTGTGAATTCCTAGAATCTCCTGGCCCTTATCAATTAAACATTTACAGTTAAAAGCTAAACAAGTCTCAGAACAGAAAACAATTCACTAAAATATACGAAGTGGAGGAGACAAGCTGAAATCGAAGTATCTAACAATCAATTAGTGACAGTCTACTCAAACACAATCCAATAAACTTAGTTGAGTGAATTATCTAGCTAAAACCTTTCACCCTATTCAATCAAATAAGATTCTTACCTGTAAGAGCAAGGGCATTCGAAGGCGCCGAACCTTGACTCGAAGCATCAGCAGAACCATAATTAACTTGCCTCAAAGGTTGACCCGGTGCTGTTTTAATTCCACTATACTCCACATTTATCTATCAAATTCAAATCAAAATCAACATCAATTTCAAAAAAAAAAAAACTCATCATAACAAAGCCACTAAATAAGCCTAATATCAGACAAATTCGACTAACCTTGTGGCTCATGCGAATTTTCTTGCTGCATTCAATTAAAAATAAATAAAAACTTCAGTTTTCAAGTAGAGTTCAATGAAATTTGAGTAGATAAACAAATAAATAAAAGGGGAAAAACATTGTTTTTTTATGAGGATAAAGGTGAAACCTTTCAGGGTCAGGAGCAGCGAATTGACCATGGACAGGGCTAAAGAGATCAAGAGCACGCTTTAGGGATTTGAGGCTGAGCTTCTTCAATGACTGCGGCTCCACTGGCTCCATATCCAGCGTTTGCCCTGGCATTTCTTCCGATTTAGGGATTTGGTACTGGGGTTTTAAGTGGGCTAGAAAAGTTATGGTAGTGGTAAACCCTAATTCGCTTTCATTAAAAATCGAAGAGAGAAGTGGCTGGCGACGAGTAAAGCAGAAGCAGTACCGATCTCTTTAACCTCCACAGTCCGATACACCTACTGTTATATTACGGTATAATTGTGCTTTTAGTCCCCCTAATATATACTATACTAAAATTTAAGGCTTAATCCTTTACTTTTATTTTATATAACCTCCCAACCAAACTAATTAAATTAAGAGGGTAAACTATACCTATGGGAGATTTTAATCTAATTACTGATCTTTTAATTTTATCAGACTATTTTTGTAATTAATAAAATTAATATAATTTTGTATTTAAATTGAATTTCTTTCACATTTTATTAATTTAATGCTAATTTATTTTTATTAGAATATTAAATTTATTAAATTAAATTAAAGTTAGAACCAAATTGATAGAATATATAAGTAAAGATTAAATGTGTAATTATACTAATTTTGTTAACTATCACATTAGTTATTCCATTGAATGTTAATAATGACAGATGATTTGATTGACATCATTTAAATAATTAAATAATCTAATTAACAAAATCAAAAGATTAGTCATAAAATCCAAATCTCCTTATAATTAAATAATCACGAGTAAAGTCAATCCTCAATGAAATTTAATATTAATGAAATAAAATCAACTATTAACAATTTAACATTATAAGTTAGCAAGTCAAAGATAAGTTATAGAAGAGACTGTAGAAGACATATAAAACCTTAAAAATTCTAGGTACATATATATATATATTAGAATAAAAAACATAAAATTATTATATCTATAATGAAATTATTTGATCTCAACATGTGAATGTGATATACAACAAACTATACACAAAAGACATTCTTTTTCTATGTATATTATTATATAATAAGCTTTTTCATGTCTCAATTCATAGAGGGATCCATGCCTTGATGAACCCAGACTCTGTCCCACATAGAACGAAATCGTTTGCAGTGATGAGGCTCGTTATTCTGCCGCCTGCTGATATTCTCCCCACTTTCTGTTGTGTTCCTCTCAACCATATCTGCTCGAAAACGATACCCGGACTCGAGTTTAAGTGTCGGATATCTTAGATTTAAAAAAGAAACAAGATGGTATATTTTGAGGATCGTATTTGGTTACCTGAAGGCTGTTAGCTGATGAGCTGCAGTTTAAGTATATGAAGTCCTCCACTACTTCCACTGCTAATATATTTGTTCTTTTCTCTGGTTTCAATGACATTTGTGGCTCTGAATTTCTTCTCCATTCCTGAAAACCATAGCCATTACTTTTTATTTTCATTGTAACATGTTTTTCCACACGTGAAAGTGTTTTGATTTTTACCCTGAAGGTAGAACCTTCAACTGTTGAACTTGCACAGTAAAGCCAGTCTCTGTACATGGTGATTGAATTGATGGGCTTGCTTTGCATTCTCCATTTCTTTACAGGTGCTTTGATCTCTCTCTGATGGTTACTTGTTATAGAAATCTCCTGGAAAGAGTCATTCATCACGTATGTAACAAGGGTTTTCGATAAAATCTCGAGTTGAATTCAAGGGTTTGTTTTTATCGAACCTGAATGCTCGAATCGGCACAGCCTGCGTAGATTCTTCCTTGAACCATCTTCATGCACTTTACACATTTGGTTTTGCAGATACTGTTGACTGTTCTTGATGAATCAAAAACCTGAAAGATCTTAAAATAGTTCATATATATATATATATATATGTATATAAGTTTGATTATCTTATTGAATGTGTCATTTGTTACCTTAAGATGGTGGCCTTGAGTGATCATAAATATCATTTGACCATATGTCTCTAACTTTTGAACCGATTCTTTTGTTGCTATAACTTCGATGCACTCCAATTTGTTTTGGACCATTTGCCACACCTGAATCCGAGTTAGATTCAACACTCGTACCCGAGTCCGATACATAGGAAACAAGAACAACGAGACTTTCACTTACTCTAATGGTCTTATCGGTTGATCCACTTAGAAGGGTCTCTCCTGGTTCAAAGAGTGAAAAGCATGTCACTGCGTCCTTGTGCTCCTTCACGTCCCATACAAGCACGGCTGATTGCCTTCTGATGTCCCATACCTGTTCAATCAACCGAGTTTTGCAGATTCATTAGTTTTCGTTGTGTCTTCCTAGTCGGTGGGATTAAGCCGCCGAAAAGGCCACTAATATGACAAGGGAAATTCGTTTAGGGACAAGGTCATACCTTAATTGAACCATCAGAGTATCCACTGAAAAGCATTCCCCTGTAGTAGATCAGGGCATTTACAGCTCCACTGTATTTGTGACTTGCCTCGACGATTTGCGTATGAACGCAAGAGATACGCTGTTCTTGTCATTGAAACAACAAGCTAAAGAGTTAGATGTTACTTGATACATTGGATACATATCGATATGATGCGGAGGAGACGTCTGAATATCGACCATTACAATATTACTTCTGTTAATAGTCTCATTTCACTGCATATTAGGCCTTAAGACTTCCTCAAGAACACTAACCGACTTATTAGGCAGGTAGAAGTCAGCAACTCTATGTAGTTCATCTGCCATCCAGGTCACATTTGAAAATCTCCGAAGCGACTCCCGTACACCCTCCGAGAAATGAATCAGTTTCTTCATACCTGCATATTGGTAGAAGGACATTACCTTGATCGGAATCGTGTGATTGTCGGAAGAGTACACATATTGATTGTAAGGGCATTACCTTTTCCAGAAGCATAGTTATAGATGCATAGGCATGCTAGAAGTCTTTCTTCAAGGTCCATTCCTGGATGCAAAAATTTATCAACTTCACCAAGTAAGATCTCACAAGCTGAATATCTAAGGCTGTTCGAACTTTTGGAAATTTCACAACCAAGCCATGCTATGATCACGAGGGACTCTCGAGCAACCATCTTTATCTGGCTCTTCAGTCCCTTTTGTAAAGCGACGAATGCTGGTTTACCGAACTCAATGATGCTTCTTGCAATCTTGCTGCACCATGAATCAGTTCCTGAATCCTGCAAATTTAAATTCCATCTTCAAATTTGAACATCATTTGACATCTAAATCTAACAGCTATAAGATAAACTGCATTTTCCTTTTATGCATCTTACCAGCAGGCTCGGATCCAACCAATCACAGTTTCGTATCATGTTCCGATGATTCAAAGACGTTAAACCGGCCTTTTTCACCAGCCATGCTACTGTGTATGATTCCCCTGTCCAAGAATAAGTTCCGCCAATATTTGACAGAATGAATGCCGACAATAGCTGCAAAGTGCTTTCTTCAGATGCTATCGACTGAAAGAGAACCTGCATCGCTTCCTCTCGGAACACACTTTTACCAGTTGAGTTTTCCTGCAGTGAGGTCACTTATCGGTACATGATCTTCGTTTATTTATCCGAAAATGTACGCTATCGAACTTTGTATGTGTTAACAAACATACTAAAAACATCAGCTATGTCAATGACTTTACCAGTGTGTCTAATTGAATCAATAAATTTGCAGCCAGAATTCGGGGTAATTGAACGAGCTTCGAAACTCGAAAAGGTCATGGTTCAAATGGTGGTCGAAGATTTCGAAGAGTGTGTCAACGGAGGCAAAGTGATTATCAAGGAAATGATTCCATATGAAGTTGATACAGTCACATTAAGGCTTTTGGGACTATGGATAAATGAAAGACTAAACAAAGGGAGAAAGCTGGTTCATAATGCAAAGAAAACTGAAGTACATCAATTGATTCTCCTCTTCATTCCCTTTGAAATAATCTATGGTTGAGTTTACTAAGTGGTTGCATTTTATGTTGCAGACATGGAGTCCGATTTCCAAATCCGACCGGTATGCGTATTCGGCCGCCGAGCTAATGAACTTGACTAAGGAAACTGTGAACGAGTTCTTTCAAATTCCAGTTGGAATTACAGAGGATTTGATTCTTGATCTAGCTGAAGGACTAGAGCAGGTCATTCAAGAATATGTTACCTTCCTAGCATCATGCGGTGAGTACCATGTTTCATTCACCAAGTTCGGGTTATCGTATCTCAGTTACGGTCGAATTCTCATCGTTTCGTATATTTCTTTTCCAGGTTCGAAGCAGAATTATCTTCCTACACTTCCTCCATTAACCAGATGCAACAAAGATTCAATGTTGTCCAGGCTTTGGAAAAGGGCTAGTCCTTGTGGTGTTCGAGACGAAGAGATGCACCAAACTATGGCAATGCAATGCCAAAATCCTTCCCCATCGACGAGCCTCGGAACGCAATGCCTCTACATCCGCCTTAATACGTTGAACTATCTAATCTCCCACATTCACGCCCTTGATAAAACTCTCGCCCTTTCGCCAAGAGTCTTAACACGAAACCGCAATCAACAACAATACGCTACTCCGTTTTCCTACTTTGAACGTGCCAACGGATCCATTCAAGCCGCTTGCGATCACGTTTCGGAAACAGCCGCTTACCGCCTCATCTTCCTCGATACGAACCTAGTATTTTATGAGTCTCTTTACATTGGCGGTGTAGCCAGTTCAAGAATTCGACCCGTGATAAGAATTCTAAAGCAGAACCTCATGCTGCTCACCAATATCCTCACAAACCAAACTCAAGCATTGGCAATAAAAGAAATCACGAAAGCATCGTTCGAAGCGTTCCTCATGGTGTTGCTAGCAGGAGTGCCATCGAGAAACTTCAATCGGTCCGATTACGAGATGATCGAGGAGGATTTCCAGAGCCTGAAAAGGATATTCTATACTTTTGGAGAAGGATCGTTATCCAAAAACGTCGTCCAACAGGAAGCAGAGAAAGCCAAAGGGGTGATATCATTGATGGGACAAACCACAGAACAATTAATAGAAGATTTCAGCATTGTCACGTGTGACACCAATGGAATAGGCTTCACTGGCATAGGCCAAAAGCTACCAATGCCACCAAAGACGGGAAGCTGGAACCGATCCGATCCGAACACGATACTAAGAGTGTTGTGCCATCGGAATGACCGAATGGCGAACCATTTCTTAAAGAAATCGGTTCAATTGACGAAAAGAAGCTTGTGAAACAAGCATAGGAAGAACATGCTATATATAAAACTGGAAATCTGAAAAACAGGTTTGTGTTGATAATATTGGTGTTTTTTTCATTGAATTGATTGTTGTATTAGGATTTGTGTTGAAGATGCTGCTGGAGTTGGAGGCAGGGGATGGGATTGGGGTTTCAGAGAGCAAGTGTACCATGATGATATGAAAGTTATTTTAAGAGGAGTGATTTGTTAAATTCTTAAATGGTAGCTTTGTTTGATTTTTTAAGCTAAAATTTTTGTTTGGTCCCTCCGTTATACTATGAATTTCGAATTTAATCCTTATACTCTAAATCTCTAATAATCTTTAGGGTAAACTACATTATACGCCACTAAACTTTTACTTCTATATAGAAATGACGTTAAACTACAAACTGATACAATTGTGTCACAATTCATGGTATTGTTTGAAATTATACAATCGAATGACATGAGATGATAATTTGATGGTGATTAGAATATAGAGTTTTAGATGAAGTTTCATCAATTTAAGTGTTTTTTTCGAAAATTAAATTTAAAGAGGAAAAAAAAGTAAAATGTGAATAATTTGGTACTGATTTTATCTTAAATGATGATTAGTTGCTGATAACAATTTATCGCCAACAACGTCCAAAAAATTCAATCCCTAAAATTGAAACATTTAAATGTTAAAAAATGATCATTTAAAATTAGAGAATTTATAACATCACGTAACTGTTTGAAAAGTTTAATGACTATTTTATAATATTTAAAATTTAGGTGATGAAAAATATATTTTAGAAGAGTTTAGTGACATTTAGTACACTTTACCTATAGTTAAAAGATAATGCACCCTGCATCATCTTTGACTACCAAAGCCATCGAACACAGAAGAAAAGAGGAGAAAAACAATGGAAGGCAGCCAAAGCAAAGCCAACATCATCGGCCGCCTGCAAATCATAAAGCAAAATTCAGGAAAAAGCTACAATCAAATAGCAGAAGAAACCGGCTTAACTAACGTCTACGTGGCTCAACTCCTCAAACGCCAGGCTCAGCTCAAGCCGGAAACCGCGCCTAAGCTAAGGGCAGCCTTGCCGGACTTGCCCCAGGAGCTTCTCCATGAGATGATGAAACCACCATTGCGGTCCTATGATCCTAACCTTATCCAAGAACCCACTGTTTACAGGTCCTCCTCCTTACGTAATTCATGTTAAATTGTCGAAGAAGATTAGTTTTTTGAAATACCCAATTTTTTTTTGTTCTTGCAGGCTGAATGAGGCGGTGATGCATTTTGGTGAGAGCATAAAGGAGATTATTAATGAAGAATTTGGTGATGGGATGTAAGTTTTTTCAGTGGTTTATTTTGGGCATTTTTTTGCTGACATTCTGATTCATTTCTTCGTGCTGTTTGGGAGTAGAAAGGAAATAGTTAGCATCGGGAACTTAATTGGAATTCAGAAATAAAAACTGGGTGTTTTTATTGGAATTTACATGATGCATTTCTATGTTATGCGAATTCGGGTTCGAGTGTCGTATGTGTATGTATCCAACAAGGGAGTATTCTGGTTCGAGTGTCGGATGTGTATGTATCCGACAAGGGCGTATTCAGGTTCGAGTGTGGGATGTGTATGTATCCGACATGGTCGTATTCAATATTCGTATTCGGAAGTTCTTTTATGTATTTGGAAGATTCTTGGACATAGTACTAAATTGCGGTTGCGGCTGCCGTCACAGTTGCGGGTGTTGCGGACGTTACGGTGTGATTCCCCCCTAAAAATTACTATGTTTTATGTTGCGGATGCGGTGACCTTGAAAAACGTTACGATACGACCGTTACATTGCGTTGCGGCTGCAATTTAATACCATGTTCTTGGAGTATCATATCCTCATAATGTCCGGATAAGCCTCAAACATGGGTTTCAAAAATTGGTGCTTTAGGAGAAAATGGTGTCAATTTTCATATGTCCATTAACTGATTCATCTTTGTGTTTTGTTTAGCATGTCGGCTATAGATTTCTACTGCTCTGTCGACAAAGTTTCAGGCGTGGACGGGAGAGAACGTGTTGTCGTTACGTTCGATGGGAAGTACTTACCATACTCTGAGCAGGTTTGTCGCCCTTCTGTTTTCTTTAATCCATGAACTGAACTTACTGAACTCCTGAATCCCAATTGTATCTTGTTGAAATGAAATACTCCTTTGGTTTGAAGGGTCTTGAAGCAACAGCTAGTGTTGATTGTGGATATAGTATTCTACTTTGGATTTTATTGTTTATCCTGATTGATTCCCGAGTTCAAATACAATCTGGAAAAGTTTTCGATTACCTTTACCGATCTTCTAGTTTATGTTGTTTAATCAGCCCGTTACCGTTTAACCATGCTAGAACAATGAAAACTTCCATCCTAATAGATAAAAAAAACATGCACTTGCCGCTGGTATAGGGATGAACCCTACATTACTTGGACTCGAATGTGGGCTGTTGGACAATCCTTCAAGGTCATATCTCCGTATTCATGTATGAAAACTTGCCAGATATGGGTTTTTTCCTAGAAAAACATAGAATCGGATTAACATAGATGAAACTACACTGGAACTGAGTTTGTTCCATTCTTGGTGGAAATTTGCAGGGATTCTCCCAGTCTGAGTTTAACTTGTCTGATCCATAACCTTGATAAATTGAACTAACAACTCACTCGCTCACAATTCCTTTCTAATGGCAGAAATCCGAGCATATGGCTTCAAGATTAAAGCAGCAATGAAGCTGATGAACAGTTTAACGATGGTGTGATGTGGAACATGGAGATTCTTGTTGAATGGTAAACCAATAAACCTTTGTATGTATACTCGTATACTACGTTATTCGAACTATTTTGTAATCATGCCCATCACATATTGCGGTATGTATTCGACATTAATCTCGAAGTCCGAATAAAAAATATTATCATTGGTGGTATTGAATCCCTCATTTTGATCACAACATTTAGTTATTAACCTAATTGGTAACAAAAAGGTTTTGCATAATACATTTACAGCAGACGTAATTGAAATGGTAATAATAGAAAAAAAATTTAACTTTAACGTAGAGTACATATAGTATTTTGGTATGTTTTGTAAACTTTTAATTGATTTAATCATTCAAATAGTGTTCTCATTTTGGATTGGTAGGGGCAATTGCATCCATGCAAAATGAGCTTGTAGTTTAGTGCTGTCCTCCAATTCCACTATCGCCACCCGCTACTCCACCAATTCCACTACCACCACCAGATCCACCTCCACCTCCTGCACCCCCACCAAATCCACTACCACCACCGGCGCCACCTACTCCTCTAGCACCACCTCTAATACCACCACTGAGTCCAACACCTTTCCTAATCCCACCTCCAATGCCACCACCCTTTCCGATTCCACCTCTTAGCCCACCTTCTTTTCCAAATCCACCTCCAATCTCACATCCTTTTCCGATTCCACCACCAAGGCCTCCACCCTTACCGATGCCACCGCCATGTCCACCACCATTGCCAATTCCTCCACCTTTTCCAATGCCACTACCATGTCCACCACCTATTCCAATTCCACCACCATGTTCACCACCCTTGCCAATTCCTCCACCAAGTCCACCACCCTTGCCAATTCCTCCCCCAAGTCCACCGCCCTTGCCAATTCCTCCAACAAGGCCACCACCCTTGCCAATTCCTCCACCAAGTCCACCACCCTTGCCAATTCCTCCACCATGTCCACCACCTTTTCCTATTCCCCCACCAAGGCCTCCACCTTTTTCTATTCCCCCACCAAGGCCTCCACCCTTACCAATCCCCCCACCAAATCCCCTCCTTTTCCAACTCCAACACCAATCCCACGGCCACCACCAAACCCTCCACCAGCTCCAACGCCACCACCAAACCCTCTACCAGCTCCAACGCCACCTCCAAGCCCTCCACCACCACCACCACCTCCTCCAAAACCACCTCCTGCACCACCCCCACCTCCGGCACCAAACCCACCTCCCTTAGTTAAAGTACTTATCATCTTCATTCTTCCCCTCACTCGCCACATCTCTAGCAACCACGTTACAACAAGCAAAAAAACAAGACAACTCTCTTAGTAAAGCTCACCATCTTAGTTACTCCAGCTACGTTCATGAGAACCACAGTATGAAAGTGCTTTTATAGGCCAATGGGGTCACATTAAATCATCTCAACAACTAACTGCTACCCACATGTATTGCCCAAAAAATAATGTTAGCTACCATTATCAAGTACCAAATCAGCTCACGGGGTTAGGTTTTCTTCGCTCATCATGAGATCAACCCTTGATTTGTTTCACGTACTAGTAAAACCACTCCCATAACCATAGACTCACGGATGAGGGTCCGCAAGCGGTCGTCCCTTTGAAAATTTTAATTTCTTATATAATCTATGTATTTTTTATATTGACATTCAAATTCTAAATATATTGTATGTCAACCTCTTAAACTAATTCGTATCATGAACTAATTGAATTAAATTCAAGATAAAACTTTTGTTTATAGGTCAACTATGCGCGTACAGACTGGTATACTTTAATGACTACAAGTAGGCTCTTGCCGAGCATTAATAAACGAAAGGAAGGTGACAATCTTGCAGGTTGATTGGTTCTTGGTGATAATATGTAGTTAATAGTCCCGTCAACCCTCTCTTTATATGTAAGTCGAGATTACATCCAACACTTATACATATAGGGTAAAACAAGCCAATGACCCACCGAAGTCCTACGTTTGAGGGGGGAACAGTTGTATCTATCAATCCGTATATTTTTTTTATAGTCTAAGATGATTACAAAGTAATTTCTATTAAAAAAATTTAACTTATAACAACACGCACACATAATCTACATACACAACTGTTTGAACCCTTATTTCATGCAATAAGATAAATATGGAAACCTTTATTTCATGCAACAAGTTGATTTTTTTATTGGTTGCGACTATAAATAACATTATAGGAAGGATTTTGAAATAGTTTTTCTTTAAATGTATTCATACGAGTAGAGTTCGGATGCAAGATACATCTTATATTTGAATCATCATATTATAAGTTACTAGCTAAATGGTATTACGAGTCAACTCAATACTGATTTAATTGTGATAAAGTAAAACATTTTTTTATCAAATGATTATATATATTATTATAACGATATTTCTGTCTTTAAATATTTTTATTCAATCTTTAAAAAATATGAAAAGCATTACTTAATAAATTAAATGTCCAATAAGGATTGAACACGCAATTGAATGGAAATTATTATACATCTTTAAATATAAGATCTTAACGTGAAACATTTTCTTTCACTTACAGTATAACATAATCCAATATAAGTTAAATTCTATGTTCTTATTCGATTAATATGTGCATGCATAAGTGATAAGTCAACTTCATCCAATCCGATTAGGGAAAAATATTCGATTCAAACTCGACGTGTTTCAATCTAACACTATAGGATCATTAAAAAAATAAGTTCGAGTTTAAGGTGAACAATACCCGACACAAAAATAATAGTATAGTTGACATTTATATATTTATGGTCAATGGTTGTAGTACTCCTCTATCTATATTTTCCTAATTAAGTTCCTATTTTATCTAATAAAAAATTATATATATTTATTTTTATTCGTGTTGAATGTGAAATTTTATTTTAAAAGTTGAATCGAATATTAGACCAAATAAAATTTTCCTAAACTTAAATCAAATCGAAGATAATACTCGATTACTAAAAATTTAATTTAACCCAACCGATGACCATACTTGCATCCAACCCTTTGAAATTAGGGAAATGAAAATGATAGATATTATTTTTCAGAAAAACAAAAGCCAAAAGTACACATATATAGTTGTTGAAAGGGTATGCATCATTGATCATGATAGAGTACAATTCTATTCAATTGAGATTGATATATATATATATATATACATACATAATTTTAAATTTTAAATAATTTCATATAATCTTTTTATATTTTATCGTTAAATCGATAAAAATAATATAATTTAAAGGTAAATGAAGATTTAAGCATAATAAAATACATATTTATCTGAAAAATTAAAATAGAAATTGTACAAGTATAAAAATCAGAAACCCCAAGCCTTTGGTTTTACCAAACCTCATAATTGAATAAAAATTATTATTATTGATGGTATTGAATCCCCATTTTAATCACAACATATATGTATTGACCTAATTGGTAACAAAAAGGTTTTGCACAATACATTGACATCGGATATAATTAAAATGGTATTAATAAAAATAAAAGTATCTTAATTTAACCATTCAATCTCATTTCGGATTGATCCAGGCAGTTTAATCCATGCATATGTGGAACGTGAGCTTGTTGTTCAGTGGAGTCCTCCAATTCCACCTCCACCGCCTGCTCCTCCACCAAAACCACCTCCACCTCCTGCACCCCCACCAAATCCACCTCCACCTCCTGCACCCCCACCAAATCCACCTCCACCTCCTGCACCCCCACCAAATCCGCCTCCAAAACCACCACCGGCACCGCCTCCACCTCCAGCACCCCCTCCAAATCCACCACCACCACCGACACCACCTCCGCCTCCTGCACCACCTCCAAATCCACCACCCCCACCTGCACCACCTCCAAGTCCACCACCAGCTCCGCCTCCAACACCACCACCTTTTCCGATCCCACCTCCAATGCCACCACCCTTCCCAATTCCTCCACCAAGTCCACCACCCTTTTCAATTCCACCTCCTAGCCCACCTCCTTTTCCTGTTCCACCACCAAGGCCTCCGCCCTTACCGATGCCACCACCAAGGCCCCCACCTTTTCCAATGCCACCACCAAGGCCTCCTCCCTTCCCAATGCCACCGCCATGTCCACCACCAAGGCCTCCACCCTTGCCAATTCCACCACCTAGTCCCCCACCCTTACCAATGCCGCCACCAAGTCCACCACCTTTTCCTATACCCCCTCCAAGGCCTCCACCCTTGCCAATTCCACCACCAAGTCCCCCACCCTTACCAATGCCACCACCAAGGCCTCCACCCTTGCCAACTCCGCCACCAACCCCCCCGCCCTTTCCAATGCCACCACCCAGTCCACCACCTTTTCCTATACCACCTCCAAGGCCTCCTCCCTTTCCAATGCCACCACCAACTCCGCCACCTTTTCTTATTCCCCCACCAAGGCCTCCACCCTTACCAAACCCACCACCAGCTCCGCCGCCACCTCCAAACCCTCCACCAGCACCAACACCTCCTCCAAAACCACCTCCTGCACCAGCACCACCTCCAAGACCTCCACCTCCACCAAAACCACCCCCACCTCCAGCGCCAAACCCACCTCCCTTAGTCAGAAAGTACTTCCCATCCTCATTCTTCTCCGCATTCACCACATCTCTAGCAACCACGTTCACCACAAACACATTAAAACAAAGCAAAGAAAACAAGACAACTCTCTTAGTAAAGCTCACCATTGTTGTCACTCCAGCTACGTTCATGAGAACCATGGTATCACAAAGTTCTTTTATAGGCCAATGGGGTCGCATTAAATCGTCTCAACAACTAACTGCCACTCACATTTAATGCCTAAATAATAATGTTAGCTACTATTATCAAGAATCAAACCAGCTAAGGGGTTAGTTTTTCTTCGCTCATCATGAGATCAACCCTTGCTTTGTTATTTAAGTTGGAGATAAAAGTTTGTTTCTTAGTCAAACTATGAGCACACAGACTGGTATACACTACGACCTTTGATCTGTACCCTTCCCCAAAAATGACTAAAAGTAGAGAAATTAAATCTCAAACATTCTTTAGAAACATAATATTTAATTATTGATTATTCTAATCATACAATGAAAAGATCTCCCAACCTGTTATATTCACGAATCACGACACATTCATGATCATAAAGTAAGGCAAAATTAGATCCAAAACTTGTATATTTATGGTAAAAGTAGCTGATGGCCCATTGAAGTCCTACGTTTGAAGGACCAAAAAAGCTGTCACGTTATACCTATGAGTCCTTATATTCTTTTACTCCAAACCATAAGTATTTATTACATCAATGCAATAAGGATAAAATTACATTTTTTTCATTTAACTAAAATTTTAATAAGAATTAAATTGAATGACTAAATTTTAAAGGATTAAAATTGTGATTTTCAGAAAATCAAAAGCCAAAAAGTACACACATATATAGCTGTTGAGAGGGGCATGCATTATTGATCATGTCCATGTGCTTGGTAGATAGGGTATTTATTGTTATTGCCAAATTAAATTGATTAGGGTTTATTATTTTATAACTTTTTTTTTCAAAGATATGAATATCTCAGATAAAAATCTCATCCATGATAGATTATATGAATGAGTGGAAGACGCTGGTCCCTTCAAAAATTTTAAAATTTTGTATATTTTAATTTTTTTATTAATAATATATTTTCGTTCTTGAAGTTTTATAAGACTATTCATTCTAAAGTTGTGTAACTATATATACATCCTTGATTTAATCTGAAAATGAACTTTTAATAATTTAAATTATAATATTTACTAATTTAAATATTTTAATAATAATAATACCAATTGAAATAATGTTAAGCATATTAAAACGAAAAATTATTAATGGTTTGCATGATAGTGAAGCCATTTGTATATGACTTTTGTGTAATTTAATGTCCAAAGGCCACCACGTGAGTATAGTATTGGGCCATGCTACAATGTCGGCTCGGCGTCGGTGTTGGACTTGGATTTCACCGCCACCGATGTGGCAGGGCAGCTGAGGGTTGTCACCATTTTAATGAAACATATTGGATCCTAAATCCCACACTATATTTATTATATTAAAATTAGACATATAAAATTCAATTTAACTTACTTAAAAAAAATGCTTTTTTAGATTTTCATTTATTTAAATTAAACTAATTGAATAATCGAATATTAAAATTATATCATTTTTATCTTTGATTAAATAATTTAATTATTTTTTGACTTTATACGTAGTGAATTGCATCATATGTTCCCAAACTATAACCTTCATTCTAAATTGGTCTTTAAATTTTTTAATATTTCAATTTCACCCCCAAACTATGAATCCCATTCTAAATTAGTCCTTAAACTTTTGAACATTCTAATTTCATCCTTAAACTATGACCCTCTTTCTATATTAGTCCCCAAACTTTTGAATATTTCAATTACATCCCCAAATTCATCCAAATATGTAATTAGTTTTAACCATAATTTAACTTAATTTTTATTTTTTCAAACATATAATAATATAAATTGGCCTAACGATTTTATTAACAAGAGTGTTATTAGTATATACACTACAGCAAAACTTTACATTTGCGGCGTTTTTTACCTATAGCGGCGTTTTTAAGCGCTGCAAAAAACATCTGCGGCGCTATGACAAACGCCGCAAAAAGCGCCGCTGAAAATAGCGTCGCTAAAGTTCGCGGCGTTTGGTAACAAAAAAACGCCGCAATAGGTAACGATATATAGCGGCGTTTGTCCAACAAACGCCGCAATAGGTGTTGAGATTTAGCGGCGTTTTTTCCACAAACACCGCAAAAGATCTGGTATATAGCGGCGTTTTTTTATAACAAACGCCGTAAAAGGTCATATCTATAGCGGCGTTTTAAGATACAAACGCCGCTAATTACCTCTCTATAGCTAAAAGAAATTGATTTTGCAAATTAAAACTAATTTGTCAAATGTTGTTTTCTACTTTTTTATTACCCAAATTTAACCTGTAGCATTTTCCAATAAACTTGACATCCATAACAACAAACTTAAAATCCATAACAAGAAAAATGAAATCCATAATAATAAATCAAAGTTTACATTAACGTAAAATATAATGTAGTTCAACATTATTAACTATAATAAACAATAATATCTAAGATATTTTGCTTCTAATCTTACACATTCTTCAAAATTCTTCGTCACAATGAGGCGCTTAAATTCAAAGAGATAAATCCAGTTTATATGGGAAAACAATGATGCAGAGCTAGTATCGTTCTGTCATTTCTTGCACAGATATTTTGCTTCATGAGGTCTTACTCCAATTGGCATGCCACTTGAAAAGGCCCCATCTATGGCAATGCAAACCCGATCTCTAGTTTCATATCCAAATAAATCATCAGTTTAGATGAAAATCCATTATATCTTACGTTAAAAAAGTTAACAACACATTTCTGCATGGTCAGTCCCAACAGTCAACAACTCTATGGCATGGGCAACCATCATGATGATAAGCAAAATATAGAGATAGATCTTAATAATTGTGCAGAAACATCCAAGCTTGAATTTCATGATAACTTCTAACAGCTTATCGGACCAAACATATTTTAAATCAATAGCACCCAGAAAAAGGCTCTAAAATTGCATTCCTAACAAACAGAAAGATATAAAGATGGAAATATGACAGCTTACCAAGGACAAAATCCTTTCAAGCATTCTGCTAAAACAACCTGAGAACAGACAAAAGCACAATCTAACTTAAAGATAAGGAAGCAAAAAGAGAATTTAACGGATATTGTAAATTAATATTTTATCCCTATTTGTCACCTCAGTATTTTCCCCAAGAATTTCAATTCTAAGCCCCATCAACTTATGTGCAGAGGCCATTGGTTTCAATTGAATGTTTTTCTGTGCCAAACTGTACATGCTTTCTAACCCCTAACAGAAGAAAATAAATAAACGAGATATGTAATACAAGGAAAGTACATACCACTGTGAATGGCCTGATGTATAACAAGTGAGAAGGAAAAGTATTATGTACGAGAAGGAAAAGTCATACTTGTTGCTTCAATCGTTCATTTTCTTTCATCAATTCAACTTCCTGCAATGCATGCATCAAAACAGTCTTATGTCTGTTCTTTAGTATATTTTTAATTCCTCCTTTTTGACTGCTATTTTGTATGTTTATGTACTGACCTTTCTTTGAATGACACTGATTTCTCTCATAATCCTTTGACCCTAAAATACATTAATAATTAGAGCTAATTAAGTGCCAAAAAGATATATGATAAATTAGAGGTCACTTATAAGAGTACCATTAGTGTAAAGGAAACAAAGATTAATCTTCTAAGTTCTAACTCTCAACTATAAAATTTTAAAGATGAAGCTAGATTAAGATATATATTATGTCATAAATTCTCTATCATTATCAATGCTCTCAAAGGATACGAGAAATCAATCTCTATTAAAAAACTATAAAGAAGATGCTCCATAACTTACTAAAATTTTGGCAAACTAAACTAAGAAAATGGTAATTATTGAAATAAAGAGTATATTTATCTCTTGATGAGTTTATTAGATCTTTGATCACTCATAAGTTGATGATAAAAAAGAAGAAAAATAAGAAATAAGAGAAAAATGTGTTACTCTAAAACTCATAAAGAGCAAAAAGAAAAGAAAAAAAATCAATATTTGTTTATTCTCTTCTTTCAAAACTGGTTTCACAAAACTCCCAACATTCACAATTAAAAAAAACCCAACCACAACAACATGACCTATTGAAAGTAGGGTGCGATGGACAAGAAAACATACCTGCAGGTAGTTGACAGTTGACGACCGGAAGAGTACGACGGCGGTGAGATGCTTCACGATTACCTGTCACGAGTTTTTGAAATTCCTAAATTTAGATCGGAAAAAAAACCCCATGTATAATGTATTAAATTTAAGCTACAAACTAATCGAAAACAATTTCAATAATAAAATACAGAATTATCAAATGAAAGTTTGTTGCTAACTTATGTACTAAAACATGATGAATACACTCCTACCGAATGTAAAAGGTTTATTTAGGGACGAAGTATAACATTTAAAAGGGAAAAAGAATGACTCCTACTAAATGAACTGCTTGATTATAGAAATAGTGCCTTCCATTATAGAAATAGTCCCTTGATCTCAGAAGAATCCCACAGAATTTGATATCTAGTTTTTTCGAGTTGCAAATATTCAGGTTGGGGAATCTACCAAGTGGAGTTTATCCCGAGGAAGACAATGTTCTGGATGGGAGTGATAATGAAAAGCTCATAGAGGAATTGAAAAATCTTCAACATCTGAATAGACCAAGGATAATAATAAAAAGAATGTCTGCTATACAAAGTTTTCTGAGCAAACGACCATGCTTTTAAATTCTGATAAGGTAAACTCGGTAGTTATATGGCCTAAATTAATTGCAAACGGCTTAGATCAAAGATAAGGTGAACTGGTTGATGGGGATATCATCTTAGTTCCTCATAAATCTGATACCTTATCAAGTGAATGAAAATGCAATTACTTTGATGTGTTCATCGTTCTAGCTAAAGAAATTTATACCATTTGATTTCTTAAGCAGTACACGAAAGCACTCCCTTCACCCATAAATCATCGGATTATATCAATTATGCAGAAAAAAAGTTGGAAAAAGAATTAAAGATCACTATTCACTACTTAAACATACAGGAACAACGAACTAAAAGGAAAGATCAAATGTACCTCCATCACACAACGTTGATACCTCAAATTAACAAATCAGACA